CGACTGCAATCACAAGAAATCTGCGCATGATTCTGAGGCTCCTGTAAGACATCCAGGGGCGTTCACTGAAAGAAGGAGTAGAAACTGGGACAGATGGAAAAGATGTGTGTGCATGTTCCGCATGTACGTGTTTGTTCTCCTGAGAGCGGATTTACCCAGGACTGAAGATTTTCTTTCCTATGATTTCAAGTCAGGCTTCTAAGAATCTTATTTTTCAAAAACATTTTACCAGCTTTATGAAGTTGTAAACGAAACAAAGTTTAATAACATAGTATTAGGGATACTATATGTATTCATCAATGTTAAACTTAATAAGGAAATCATTACACAATCCAGGACTGTGGTTATCTATATGTAGTATGTAGAATAACAGGTCTCCAAAGATGCCCATGTTCAAATCTCCAGAGGCTTACATAGCAAAGGAGACGGTGCAGATTTTATTAAGTCCAGGATCTTGAAGGGAGGGAGGTTAACGTAGATTACATGGGTCAACCTGCTGTAATAACAGGGGTCCTTACAGGATAGAGGCAGCTTTGTCAGAGGAGACAGATGATGAGAGAAGTCAGATAAGGAAGAGATTCTGCCCTGAATCTTGATGTTGAATGTATGTCTGGGTCAAAGACGCTGACGTGAGTGTGGACTCCAGCATGCTGAGCCTCAGCTTGGGGCCTCTGTCCCTCTCCATCATTACACAGTTCTCCAGGAGTAACAGCAGTGCTGCCTTTAGGAACAGTCCAGGGTAAGAGCTGAGCCTGAGTCTGGACACATTTTCGGGAAGCAGGCTGTGCAGGGGCTAAAGGGCACCTGAGAGAGCACAGCTCTGGTGTCTGCCCCCTCCACTGCCTCAAGCTAAAGTCTAGGACAGTTTCTTTGTGTATATTTTTGTGAATCTAGGAAAATAGAGAATGTCCTTTTGTTATCCAACATTCTAAGCCTGTGAGTGAATGCAATGACAGGGTTTAACAACTCCTGGGGAATTTGTTATCAACAGACTTGCTGCAAGAAACAAGAAGAGAGACCCAAACCTGCAAAACATCCTTGAAAAGGCCAGCAGCCACAGTGGACTTTCCTGGTGCTCATGAACCCAGCGGCAGTGGGGCAGGAGGAGGCAGATGCTGGCACCTGTTACTGTCCAGGGCTGGTCAGTGAGTGCTCTGGTCTCCGCTCCTGGCTCATGTTCTTGCCCCAGGACATGGGCCTCAGAGCTTCAGAGGTGACTTTCCACCTTTGTGGCCTCTTCTTAAACCTCAAATGGCCTTTTAAAAATTTTTTATTTTTAATTGGCCTAAAGTTAAACATCTTTTTGGGCACAGTGTGATGTTTCAGTGTGCTTATACATTGTATACGTTCATGATCAAATCAAAGTAACTGGCACATGCATTTGTGTGTGTGTGTGTGTGTGTGAGAGAGAGAGAGAGAGAGAGAGAGAGACATTGCTTTCTCCTGGTTACTTTGAAATACACAGACAGCCTGATTGACTATAATCTTACCAGGTGCTTATAACACCAGAACTTATTCCTCCGGTCTACCTGCAATTTTGTGCCCATTGACTGATGCTACTCTATTCCCTTACCTCCTTCTCTTCGTAGCCTGTGGTAACCACCATTTTACCCTCTGCTTTAAGTCGAGTATAATAATTCCATGGTAAGGTTTAGGCCAAGCATGTGTAAGACCCTAGATTCAGTCCTCAGCATTGTAAAACCAAAAAAGCAAGCAGGCAAAACAAAGCAAACAGGAAGAAAAGACAAAGAGCACAGACTGTCCCCAGTCTTCCCAGTCTTTTCCACTTAGCACCGTTGCTGTAGGATTGGTCCTTTCGGCTCCTCATGTACTGGGTCTACTGCTTTAACTTCTTCAGGCTGTGCTTGCCTGATCTTTCAGTTGCTTACAGTGTGAATATCCTAGCACATCTCTCTCCATGGACCAGAGGCAGGGGTGGTGGATTTCTCTGGGGCTGTAACCATAAGTAGGTACCATGGGATATTCTGTAGGGTGAAATGGGGTAATTCTCTTTTCCCCTTCCTCCCTTCCCCCACTTTTTCCTTTCTCCCCTCCCTCCCTTCCTTTATTCCTTCCTCTTTTCCTGCTTCTTCCTCCTCCTCCTGTTCTCTCTGTCTCTGTCTGTTTCTCTGTCTCTGTCTCTCTTTTATACACAGACACAGACACAGACACAGACACACACACACACACACACACACACACACACACACACGCACATACACACACACTTTCTGGCAATGTCTTAGTTGAGCTGCCTCCCTGACTAATTCCTCTGCATCTCAAGTTCAGGTTCAATATAAACTTAGGTTTGTGTCCAGTGGCTTTCTATCTAGAAGCAAAATTTCTCTTCTGGAGAAATAAGTATTTTCTTATAAGGTCTTTAACTGATTGGGAGGAATCCAAAGTATTATAGTCAAAGTCTACTGATCTTTATGTTCAGCTTATCAAAAACATGCTTTATTTTAAGCAAAACTTTGTTAGCATACTTAGAATTAGGTCTCAATACAGCATTTTCAAACTGTTTGTTTAGCAGTTTCGTCTCTTTTCTCCCCACCCCTCCTCCCTCTCTTGTGCCCTCTCACTCAAGCAGAATTCTTTCAGCTTTCATGTCACATATGACATTTTTGTTCCCACCCCCAGCCTCTCGGTATTTATTGTTCCCTTCTATCTGTTTATATACTCTATCCCCCATCTCTCATACCTTATTGTCATATAAGCGTTGTTAAGTTAGGATCTGCATATGATAGAGAGCATGCGAGTTTGTTTTTCTGAGTCTGGGTCACCTCACTTAATATAATACTTTCCAGATCCATCCATGTCCCTGAAAATTTCATGATCTCATTTTTCTTCACAGCTGAGTAAAATTCCATTGTGTATGTACACCATGTTTTCGTCATCCATTGTTCTGTTGATGGGTACTTCGCTGGTTCCAGTTCCTTGTTATTGTGAACAATTCAGCAATGAACATGGATTTGTAAGTATCTCTATAAAGATACTTTCACATCAATGTCTAGGCTGATGTTTGATCAAGAAACCGGGTGCCTTAGACCAGCCATGTTGACATACAAGGTCAGTTACCATAGGTCACCACATACCCAGATTTGGACTAAGATTTCAGTTTTTTCTGCTTGTCCAGGAAGAAAACAGCAGAAAACTAAGGTTCACATATGCCTGCTCTGGTATGGATACTATCGACATCCCTGCAAGTCCAACTGGTACCTATTTACCATCGGGCTCTCCAGCGCACAGAGTGGTGTGTGTTTAGGCATGCACATCCACTGGGGAAGGTACATCTGTAACTTGGTATATGGGTGTAGGAAATTGTTTGGCTCCCTAGTTCCACATGGTGACACATTACTTTTATGAACTAGAATATGGATGTGTTAGATTTTTGTGTGTGTATGTCTGGAGGCCATAGATACGTCACATCTGGAATTTCAAAACTATGAAGGAAGCAGATGTGTACGTAGTCATACGATCATGCATGTAGATATGCTTTTACTAAACATCCTTTTAAAACAGAAACAGCCACTTTTATCCTTTGGTTTTTTTGAGGATCCTATCAATGAATCAAGTCATAAGGAAACATATGGGAGAACAGCGAAATGGGTTATAAATATGACCAACATTGCTTTAACAGCATCACAAAGTGAGAGAGAGGAAATGGTACTTTGTTGGTGATTCAGAGTCTGGGCTGGGTCTTGTATGAGGCAATCCTCATAGGATTTCTCATCTGATGCTCCTTCAATTGAGAAATCTGAGGCTTAGCAAAGGAAACGCTTTACAGGGATTGGTACTCACCATCTTAATCTAATTGCATGCATGCTTATCCCCTTACTCCATAGCCACACCTCTGTTGTACAACAAGCACCTTCCCAACACTCAACAGCAAGTTATGCACCAGGTTATAAGGAGATGGTAGGCACTGTACCGCTGCTTGGCAAGACTTCTAGGCAAAGCTGTGCTTTGTGGCTTAGAACTTTGAAACTGAGCCGACTCTGCACTGTGATCAGAAGGGAATGCTTCCTCCCTTCTTCCTCGTCCCTGCTTTGGCACACATTTCTCCTTCCCGGGGGAGTTAGGAGGAGGCACTTCAAGTTCTTCTACTTACTAGGTTATACAAGACTCATCCCAAAGGGGAGAGACTGAAGGGAGCATGTGGGGAGGCTGAATGGTACCCCAGGGAGGATGCCATAGAGGTAAGGGTGGTTTAAGTTCTGGTGATACTCCTCCAGAAGCATCAACAATGGGACGTGGGGTCAGTTAGGTAGATTGGTGAAGTCAAAATGACTCTTGAGTTTCTGGCTTTGGTCTAGGGCTAGAATGAGACAGGTGAGGGCACACAGATCACCTCTTTACTTTGAGTGTGCTGAATGGGAACACCTGTGGCCACTTGGGGGGTGGTGTAGTTTGCCTTCAATTGCTATGATGAAACCCTCTGACCAGTTCCAACCTGGGGAGGAAAGAGTTTTTTTTTTTT